CCAGTTTAGCACCAAATCATTCCTCAGCTCTGAGGTGATTTGCCATGCACTGCACAAGTATAGCCTTTAGAAGGGTCAAAGCAGTTCACAGTCACTACATAAGTTAGAAGGAATGATAAAAAAGATGATGAGGATGATCAAGGTTGTGCTACATGGCCAGCTGCCAAAATTGTAAAGCAAGGAGTTACTGAGAGATTTTTCTATGGACACCCTTCCTCTGCCCATCATTTGATCTATTTCTTCACTAAACATCTGTTTGCTTTCCACTATTATTACCTGATTTGTCTTTGTCCTATATACCTTTGATGATGTAGAGCAACAGTGAAACCAAGCTAAAAAATTTGCTTAATTGTGCACATTGTAAAACTTCTCTATCTTCATCATGGCAAAATGAAAATATTTTACTGCAATACCTTTGTGACTGATGACTGCAGTACCTTTGTACCTCTGTATTAATGAACACATCTAATGCAGGAGCCTTAGAGATAGGAAGGTACTGATCATCCACTGAGGACACTAGAAAAAATTTCAATTTTTTGAAATCTTGATCTTTATTTCCATAGTTTTCTCAATTATTTTTCAGACATTTATTGTTGTTTCTACAATGGTGCTTTAATTTCTGCCAAACTATTTGTTTCTATTCCAACAGTTTCATTAATGCTGAGTTCTCTAGATTCAAACCTGGAATTTCACCACTTGCCAAGATGGATGTAACTAATCCCTTCCTCCACTGCTCCATTTAAGCTCTGCACAAGGAAATAGATGTTATTTTGGATTAGATGAAGCCTCTTTGCTTGGTATATCATTTCCTTGTTCCAGGACTCGATCCGGGTACTAATAATATAAACCATTTCCTCTGGACCAACTCTGCAACCAATCATCCAGAAAATTGCACAAGAAGCAGCCTAAGCATTTCCACTCTGGAGGTCTTCTTTTTAAGTTCTCCTCCTCTATATTCCCAACAGTACGGCTCATTCTCTTGTCTGGAAAATACCCTGTTTCTAGCCTTCTACATGTGCCGTGGTTGAACCACTTCTATTTTCTCGTTTGGTTGTGAGAAAACAATTATAATCCACTTAGAGCTTCCCACAAACCATAATAAGCAAAAGTGAGCCCTCACCGAAAGGGGAAATCCTATCAACTATTCATAATTTGCCAGTTCATTGTGTACTACTTTGAGACAAAAATACACTATATCATTGTCAGAGTCAAATTAAAGATTCTTGGGGCTCTGGGCATTCAGATTCCCTTGGCACACCCTGTAAAATTTTTTGCGATACACTCAAGTCTACCACAATGATGAAAGCTGAGAAAGCACTCTCTGGAGTCAAGATTAATAAGGATTGATTGCTCCAATTGGATCAGTGAAGCATACACTGAGCTTCTTGGGATGTAACAGATAAACATCATGTTGTAGTGGCTCTGTTCCCAGTTGGGAATATTTGGTGGGGCTCCTGGGTATGTGTACCCTGACTACTATTATCATGGCTGACTTAACGCAGTTGACATTATGATAGAAGAGTCCATCTGTCTTCAATTGTAACTGGTTTTACATTGTAAAGACAAAGAATACTCACCAAACATCTGTCGTCTCCAATTATATTATCTTCAGTTGACAGTCTACCAGGAATCAGGTGTACTCAACTCTTTCATAACACCTACTGATATTCTAGTTCATCCTTCTTTCAAATTTCCTGGCTTCAGAATGTTGCTGAGTCTGAACAAAACACTAGTAAAATTACCTGACAATCATAATCTGGTCAAAACAGACTGGGGCTGAGTTTGACAATGTCATAAGTACCCAGTATCCTGAATATTTCAGCAAACAGATGTTCTGTGGAAAAATGAAAGATGTAACTCTGTTTCCCAACAGTCCTCTCAAAGGAAACTTCTGTGTGACTCACATTTTCTGAAAAGCATCTGAACAGGACTAAACTTATAGAAAGTATTTCCTGTGCTTAGAATGCAGAATCATGTTATGTGGTGTTTTAACAGATTGATAAGAATTTATCTTCTTTGCTAAAGCTTTAATTAGTCAGTGTGTAGACAGATTTATGCTATTAGCCTGAAGTGTTCATATGTTCTTCAATACTCTGATGCTCCTCTTCCCTAACTGTCAAATCTTTTTATATTCAATGAGATGGTACGGCTTGAAATATTTAGGTTGCGCACTTTCTGTTGCCTTGTAGGTATGAGGAAAAACAGATTTAAGGCAAGTTAGTTTTAAATTCACCATCAGGCTGTGTATCAAACTTGAGAGTTTATAATTTTAGACACATTACTGATAAAAACAGCATTTTGTTTTAGATCTGTGTAAATCTAGTGAGTCATCTAACTCAATTTAAGTTATCTTGAAGGGGAAAACAGGCAAACACTGTGACAGTGCTACAATGCTGACAGGCAGCCACGTGAAGTGATGCCTATTTCCTTTTCCCTAGTGAGATTTCAATGTAACATAAGTGGATGGTTCAGCATATCTTAAATTCCTGTTGGAGCCTAATGGCTTGCTGCCATCCTTCCAGCAGCCATAGTTGACATCACCAGCTAAGGCTTTGAATATGTCCAAGCAAATAATTTCTGTCAGCAAACTTTCAAGTCAACAAAGGCTTTTTGCCCAACATGGATTAGATTGTCTTTCCATGTTCTGTGACTTAAAACCTGTAGTTTTAACCTTCGAAAAAAAACTTGAAAGAAACACATTTGAATTAATTTAATCTTTGAATTTAGGATTTTGAAATTGCATAGTGAAGTCCAGCAGAATCCTCGATTCATCCCCTTTGAACTTGAAGAAATACATGAATAAAAGATCACTTGGAAACTTCAAGCCAACTTCTTAGTTAACCGACAGGAAACTACGAGGAATTTTAAAACTGACTCTTCACTGGAAAAAAAAACTCATGATGACCGGTAAATGTGGAAAACTCTTGGCCAAATTAAAAGCCAAGTGCTTTACATTTTTTTTATTGGATGGTCCTCTGTTTAACAGTAGCATTAATCCATTGTAATTGTAGTGCTTTTAGTAGCTATAATTTTTAGACAAATTTCTTCCGC